GTTGTAAAACCATAATCCTCCCCAGGTGAACTACACAGAGCAGGTATTATCTAGTGAAGTATTTAACGTACCGTGTGTTGTGTGGCTCCTTCTCAGCTACCTGACAGGTGACCAGCTCCGCAGCGAGTCGTCCACCGAGGCCTACGTTCGCTGCCTGCGTCTGGGATGTCGCTGTGTTGAACGTCAGTATGAAGCTGCTGCAGCTTTAATGACGGATGTATTTTGTTCATGTGGACGTTTTCCAGACCTGAAGCCTCATTTGTTTGCTCTGGTTTCCTTGTTGTGTTGTTGTTGTTGTTGTGCGAATGTAAACAGTGGACTGCTGGGAAGGTCCCGGGGAGCCCATCATCTACCACGGCTGGACCAGGACGACCAAGATCAAGTTTGAGGACGTGGTCAAAGCCATCAACGAGCACGCCTTCGTCACCTCAGAGTAAGAATCACAACAAGACTCTTCCAATAGATCGTGTAGCTCCTCAGCCGATTATAGACACCAGAGACAAAGATTAAAAGATGTTTCATGTCATCTGCATCGTCTTGGCCGCCATTTTTTAAACTCATTGTAGATATTTTATGGCGTTTTGTGTTGTTTTTGTTCCTTTGCAGTCATTTTAAATCATTATTTTTCTCATATTTTGTCGTTTTGTGTCTTTTCAGGGTCATATTTTGTTATTATGTGATTCTTTGTAGTTTTTTTGTGTCACTTTCTGGTTGTTTTTTTTTGTGCGTTTGTGGTCATTTTGTGTCTCTTTGAGGTTGTTTGTTTTCACTTTCTGTCTTTTTTGTGTCTGCGTGTGTCTTTGTGGTTGTTTTTTGTCGATATCGGTCATTTTTGTCTGCTTTTGTGGTTGTTTTGTGTCACTTGTTTGTTTTGTCGTCATGTTTTGTCTTTTTGTGTGCATTGTCTGTGTCTTTGTGTTTTTTTTGTAGTTGTTTTATACCTTTTGTGGGTCTTTGTCTTTTCCTTGCTTAGGATTTAGGGTTAGAAAAATTTGTCCCAATTTTCTGATTTTTAAAAAGTTGTTTTTAGCTACCGTAGTTTTATGATGGAGTCTTTTTTTAAATTTTAATTCAGTTTAACGCTCTTATTTCTGTTTGTAAATTTCCTTTAATCCCTTGGGGTAGCCATACTGAGTCTATGATGACCTGTTTGCCTCCTAAAAATCCTTTTTCATGGCATTAAACTCCGTAACTTTGTGTTTTGCTTCACACTGCACCATTACTCATGCAGAGATTTGTGGCTCCCAACATTTCCACAGCTGTGTTTTCATAAATAAAAAGCCTATTTTGCTATTTTTATTGCATTTTCTTATTAAAAACCCCCTTGAAGAGTTTCACTAAACCACCTCTAGTTTCACACCATGTCAGAATATTTCCTGTTTTTCCTCCGACGCATCCTTTAACCCGCTGCCCCGCCTCAGGTTCCCGGTGATCCTGTCCATCGAGGAGCACTGTCCTCTGGAGCAGCAGCGTCAGATGGCCCGGATCTTCAGGGACGTGTTTGGAGACAAGCTGCTGACCGAACCCGTGGAGCAGATGGCCGAGCAGCTGCCTTCGCCCACGCAGCTGAAGGGGAAGATCATACTCAAGGTGCGTGAGGTGTCCGATGGACGGAGGTGGCCGACAGGCGCCGGCGACGGTTTCTGATGAAATCTGTTTTGTGTCGTCCTCGGGCAGCACAAGAAACTCAGCGTGGAGGGAGGAGGCATCACCAAAGACTTCAGGAAGGGCCAGAAGCAGGGAGACCTGGAGATCTGGGACCCTGTAGACCGGGTACTGCCGAGAACAGATATCTATATAAACTGTAAAACCTTGATTTGATGCTCTTTAATGATTATTAGTAATTACTGTCACTGGTTTTGCACAACGGCTAAAATAAGTGTTACCCCGATGAACTTCAGTTTAATTTCTCTGCTCTGTGGAAACACGGCCTCCAGTTCAGCTTAGCTATCAATGACTGAACACCAGCGCTGAGGACTGAAGAATTTCTAGTTTTTTACAGATTCTGGTTGGTAGAAACGGTACATTTTTGGCAAACTTTTAACTGAGACGTGTAGAATAAAGTGGTTTTAACAAAAAATCATGATTTAAAGCTAAGATTTGGATCATTTTGACACAGATGATTAGTTCAAGGACCGTCTGAAAGTTGAAAATCAAACAGTTCTTTCTGTTTTTACAGTCTTTATGGAATCTAGTTACTGCATATGGTTCATTTTTGACACTTTTTCCATTAAGACACATAGAAAGAAGTGATTTTAAGGACACATCTTGAAGTTAAATTTAGATTTCAGAACCAAACCATCATAGATGATTAGTTTAAGGACCCTTTAAAAGTTAGAAATCCAACAATTTTTTCTGTTTATACAGTTTCTGGCTGGATTATTTTGGCAATTTTTCCTTTCAAAGCCAGTGGTGGGTTTTGGGGTTCAGATGGTAAAATAAAATAAATAAAATTTACAATGTGGGAAAACAAAAATGCTCTTATAAAATATTTCTTGCTCAATAAACTAATTAAATGACATTTTTTAAAAATCAAATATAATCACACATCGTCTGCATAGTTATGTAGCTTTTAGCATTAGCATTTTTTTTTTTTTTTTTTACCACATGACCGAGTGAAACCTGCTCTTTTATCTCTGATTTGACTATCACGGGAGGCATCTACAGTTAACAAATAACTCATGTAAATTTCAATTTGTTTCTGTCAGCGGTGGAACAAGCACTACTGCGTGATCTCCGACGACAAGCTGTACTACGCAGAGGAGTACGAAGAGGAGGAGGAAGACCTCAGGAAGGTAAAACGCCAACTCCGGAGCTTAGCGGCAAATTTAGAACATAAGGAACCATAAATTCTCCACTGAAAAGAAGGAATATGTACATAAGACCAAGAAAATGTACTAAAATGATTAAAGTACTCAAAGCAGAAAAGCATCTTCTTGCTGCATCATCAGATTATTGCTGCTCATGAATATAAAAGCTTTAAGTTTTATCGTGGATTCATCTTCTGATTACAACGTGTGATCAGAAAGTTCAGAGACGACACCTATTAAAAAAAAAATCAAAAAGTGCAGTTGATTTAGATCTGGCAGCCGTCGCCTTGTCGTGCGGCGCTGCTCTGCTCCCAGTGCTCCTGCGACGTTTGTAATCCTCCCTGGAAGTCCGGTTATGCTAATGTTTGAAAATAGTGAGAAACGCCTTCACGACCGACTGTCAAAGCCGCAAAGTTATTAAAATAAAGGCAGCAAATGGATGAAATATTGCATTTTAACTTGCAAATTGGCTTAAACGATGACAAAAAAAAACAATAATTTACAGAACTAATGTGAGCGTTCGCGCTGTTTTGACCAAAATAAATTAAAGTTAGCAGACTGTCATGAGCATTTACAGTTGAAATCAGAAGTTTACATACAAGTTGACCCAAGTCGTACAGTTTGAAGGCAACGCCACCAAATAGGGTAGAAATGTCTGTAAACTTCTGACTTTGAAGGAAGTAATAAATGACTCTCTCTCTCTTTATTGTGGCATTTAGCAAAGAGAAATAATGTTGGTAATCCTAAATAGTTTAGTCTGATTTAATGTCAGATAGTGAGAAATAATACGTCTTTTTACAGTGCATGTGAACTTGTGGTTTCGACTGTCCGTGTTGTTTCTCAGTACCAGGAGCTGCACTCCTCAGAGCCGTGGTTCCACGGTCAGATGAAGGAGGGCCGGCTGATGGCCGAGCGGCTGATCCCCGGTTACTGCGCGACGACCGGGGGAAGAGACGGAACCTTCCTGGTCCGACAGAGCCAGACCATCGCCACGGACCTCACCCTCTCCTTCTGGTACGGCGTCACGTTTCTGAATCTCATGTCCATAAACCAAAGAACTTTAACATACAACCGATATGTGGCCCTTCAGCGATGGGAAACTGTTTGTTTCAGACTGATGTTTTCCCACATTAATGTTTTTAAAGGCATGTTAAACAAATTCACCAAAATGACATCATTTATCAGAGCCAGCACCTGTATAAACGGAAAGAATTGTTGGATTTTAAACTAAGTTTTGTCTGGACTGAGAGGAAAATCAAACCTACTGGATCAATAATTAAATGCAGCACGGCTCAGAAACAGAGAACAGAAATTGTTGGAGATGCATCCAGCTGATGGTGGAACATGTTTCTACAGCGCAGTGGAAAAGTTTGTAAAGGTTGTAAACGTGTAAATAGTTAAACATCTATAGTATGTGGAGCCACAGTTTTTGGCAACACTGTGGACAATTTAGAACAAGATAATTTCAGATTTGTTTGTTTGTTTTTTGTAAACAAATAATCTTCCATTTTAAAAACTAGAAAAATGAACTTTAGTGTTTTATTTTTTTATGGTTTCTGTCGTTCTAACTGCTGCCCAGAACATATTTCTGAGTTCTCTCTCCGTCTTCATGGTCGTTCTGTTTCCATCGAGGTGCAGGACTTTAGATTGCAGTGAAAAATGAGACACGGAGAATAAAAATGAGGCCGGAGCTAAAAGCAAACAAACTCCCATCGGGTAACGTTTACCACCGACCATCCAGATGACGACCTCTTCACGCAACCGAACAACAGTGTCAGAAGCACCGTATTGTTGTGATCGTGTCTTGTTCCGTAGTTTTGACGTCTTCAGTTTTGTTCTTCACTGTAGAAAACTGTAATCCTCGAGTCCGGTTGTTTGTCCGCTCTGCAGGCGCGGTGGACGAGTCCAGCACTGTCGTATTCGCTCTGGTTCTGAAGGCGGCCACGCCTACTTCTTCCTGACGCCGAACCTGCACTTCCCCAGCGTCTACTCCCTGATCCAGCACTACAGAGAAATGCCGCTGCGCTGCCAGGACTTCGAGCTGCGCCTCACCGACGCCGTGCCGAAGCCCAACCCGCATCTACAGGAAAAGTTCGTCACGCAACGAAACACAACAACAACCTATTAAAGAAAACAAAAGACAAACATGTTAGAAAATGTGCTGTAGGTCAGCTGTAGTTGCATCATCAGGAGACGACTCTTACTGTTGAAGGAGTTGAGAGACTGCAGGGTGTTTGATGTGTTTAATATTGCAAAAACCCGAGTAGGGGATCGCTGTAACTCGGCAAGAAGAGAGTTAAGCTAGCAAGGGCAACCATGACAAAGACTTGTGTGACTGTTAATGACTTCTGGCCAAATGGCGAGTAAATAAGAGAACTGTTAGAGGCCAGAAACCTGCCTAAAGCCCAAAAGATTCTGCACATTGGGTGTAATTCTCCGTTGGTTTGTCATTACGGGCGACCATTTCCATGGACAGTTTGGTGCTTTATTATCAGAAACATAGATTATACTCACTCAACACACGGTTGGAAGCTGGAGTGTGTTTGCTGTGTTCGACTCGAGGAGGCGGTCACTTAGACGTAGCATGCTGGGAGTGAAGCTAGCAAGGGGCACCACGACAAAGACTTCTGTGACGGTTAATGGCTTCTGGCCAAATGGCTCATGGGCCAATGATGAGCAAGTAAGAGCATCAGAACAGATTAGAAACTGTCTAGAAAGCTCCCTAAAGCCCAAAAGATTCTGCACATTAGGTGTAACACTCAACGCACGGTTGGACAGCTGAAGTTTGTTTGCTGTGTTCGACTTGAGGAGGCGATCACTGAGGCTGTGTCCAAAATCATCCACTCAGTCGCTACGCCCTATCTAGGGACCACTATGTAGTGAAGTATGTAGTAAACACCTCGGCAAAGTCACATTTAGGACACGACTGAAGCTATAAATACGCTAGCTGCAATTTGTGCCGTAAGCTTCGTAGTGCAAGCGCATCAGATTCACTGTTTATTGCCTAGCTAAGAAACGGGTAGAATAAACTTTAACAAAACAGAAACGGGAAATTACTTACATTTTAATGACAAGTATTCGCGCTCTCGTTCATCTAGTTTGCGTTTCCTTTCAAGTCCATATTGTTTGGTTAGTGGCCATCGGCTGTACCCTACTTTTCACGATGCATTGTGGGATATTTTGATTGCACTATATAGGATTTAACATTTGTAACTTAACATTCAGACAGCCCTACAAAATGGCGAATACCCTTTATGGTGCACTATGGAGGTGATTTAGGACGCAGCCTTAGACTAAGAATGTTGGCAAGCAGAGAGCATTGTGGGTGGTTTAGCTAGCAACGGCCACCATTTGTAAAAATAAGGCTAAATTATACTCACTCAAGACGAGGTTGGAAGTCTGCAGTTTGTTTGCTGTGTTCGACTTAAGGAGGCGGTCTACTGTCTACGATCAGCTCTGTGTTGGCAAGCAGAGAGCATTGTGGGGGTTTTAGCTAGCAATGGGCACCATGACAAAGACTTCTGTGGACGTTAATGGCATCCAGCCAGAAGTCTCGTATTCAAGACGTTCCAAAGGCTAATAGGTTAGCATGATGGCAAAGTGGCTCATGTACCTAAGCTCCTGTAGAGGCTGATGTCTGAGATTGAAAATGGTTCCATCAGTAAATGGATTAATCTCCACTTTGCTTACTATCTGTTTAGAAAACTGTTTATAACTGACACCCCCGGTATAAAGACAATTTGAAGGTTTCTTGCGGGTTTCTCTGTTGGTTTTCAGTCTCTGTTCGTTTACATTCATTCCCACGCACTCTTTCTGTCACCCACACATGCATGTCTGCTATTTTTCTGTTCACACCTTCGCTTTCAAACACCCACAGACATTTCATATCGCTTCTTTCTCCTTTAGTCTATTTAAAGACGTTCTACAAACATGAAAGTAGACGCGCTTCTGCTTCTGCCACAGCGGCGTCCTGATGTCTGTATGACTGAGTGAACGGTGGCGTCGCTGTCGGGTGTTTGTGCAGGTGGTTCTACAGCAACCTGAGCAGAGGTCAGGCCGAGGATTACCTGCTGAGGATCCCCAGAGACGGAGCCTTCCTGATCCGGCAGAGAGAGGGAGAGCAGGACTCGTACGCCATCACGTTCAGGTACGGCAAGCAGCGAGGTCCACTTCAGCAGAGTCTGAATGTCGCAGGTTGGATGAAAAATGTATTTAATGTTTTGGTTTTTTTTAGCAAGAAAAATACAAAAAGCAACATTTTTTAAATTCATTTGTTTATTTTAGATTTTTTTTTAACATTTTGTTTTTAAACATTTGCTTTTTTTTTCAATTATTTTATTTTATTGTTTATTAATAGATTATTAATTTTGATTATTTGTTGGATTTATATTAATGTACGTCTCCGTGTCTCAATCAGTGGCTCAGATCTAAACAAAGCCATGAATTCAGCAAGAATTTCAGAACTTGCTTTGCCGTTTTAAGATAGAAACCCTGAAAGCTAGGTGACTTTAAAGACTCACGATGTAGTTTACAACGTGTTTACCTTGAATCCTTGACCATTACTGACCTCTCACCCTCGTGGGAGGCAGATTTCTTTACAAGTTCCAGGTCTTCTTACGCCACTGTTGGATTTTTTTTCCATCACTACAACTCAGCACTTGACAGATTTGCCTTCTCTCTCTCTGTCTTTCCATCAGAGGCGACGGTAAAGTGAAGCACTGCCGGATCCAGAAGGAGGGCGACATGTACCTGCTGGGCACCACCACCGAGTTCGAGAGCCTGGTGGAGCTCGTCGAGTACTTCAGGAAGAAGCCGCTGTATCGCAAGATCAAGCTGCGTTACCCGGTGACGCCCGAACTGGTCGACCGCTTCAGCACGGTGAGGACTTGATATAAAACTGAAGATGAAAGCGGAAACTCGACTTTTGGTGGAAAAAACGTGTTTCTTTCAGTAACATTTAGACGTCACAACCAAGCTGGAGGGAGGAATTAAACGGTTCAAACTTTTCATGGAGGATTTTTTGGGGGTTTACTCGGGGTTTGCTCCGAACTACCTGATGCAGATGACGTTGGCTGCATTTTGCTTAAACAGACAAAATGTCGAGGTGTGAACTTTGCAAACAGCCGTATATGTTTTATATAATCTGGCTCACGGTGGTCTACAGACTGCAGGTTAACGTGGCTACAAAATGAGATAAAACTTTAAAAAACATCACTCTTCAAAGCTGTATTCACCTTCATGATGTGAAGCA